TATTTGGACAGAGATGCAATTTATTACTTTCCACAACATACCTCAAGATATCAATGTTATCTAATGGAAAATTATAGGGCTTGTAAAGATAAGAATAGTAAGAGATCAAGGTCTAATGAAGAATAATCTGGCAATCTGTCTCTTTTTATTTTTTGGCCGCACTGCGTGGCTTGTGCGATATGGGATCTTAGTTCCCCGACCAAGGATTGAACCTGGGCCCTCAGCAGTGAGAGCGTGGAGACCTAACCACTGGGCAACCAGGGAATTCCCTGGCAATCTCTTTAAAAAGAAATGCACCACCAATGGATGAAAAGGGAAAATGTGGCATGTCCCTACATGGAATATTATTCAGCCATAAAAAGGAAGGAAGTACTGGTACAGGTTAAGACGTGGGTGAACCTTGAAAACATGATGCTAAGTGAAAGAAGCCAGCTGCAAAAGGACCATATATTGTATGATTCCATTTGTATGAAATGTCCAGAACAGATAAATACATAGAGACAGAAAGCAGATTGGTGGTTGCCAGGGGCTGGGGAGAAGGGAGGTATGGTGATGGCTTAATGGGTGCAGGGTGTCCTTTTGGGTGACGAAGATATCTTGGAACTGGATAGAGGAGGTGGTTTCACAACACCGTGAATGTAACAAATGTCTCCGTATTGTTCACTTTAAAAGGATTAGTTTTATGTTATGGTTCAGCTCATTTTAAAAATATGGGGGGGAAAAGGAATGCAATTTAACTATATTCGGGGACCTACAGGACATCCAAACCTTGCTTAAAAAGAAATCCTCGTACCTAACGGAGAGCGTGGGAACCTCTGCTCATACCTGCTGCAGGCGCTCGGGCTGTCGCTGCTTCCCAATGGCAGAAATTGCTGGAGGAAGAGTTTGCCTCACATGCCTTTGCGGGTCCCTGAGATCAAAATCAGTATCATTGTGCGATGCTGCCACGCTATTGTTTAACCAACAGTGTGGGACACGGACCCACGGGAGGGACCAGGCATTTTCACAGGTGCCTGATGCCTCATGAACAAGTCACTGTCTTTTCAGTTCTTTGTCAGCCCTTCTGATCGTTTTAGGGAGAGTCTCTGGTGCTAGCTTGCTAACCCTGGCTTACGCCGGCAGGCTTGGAGTCTCGGCAGGACAGAAGCTAGCTACATGTAATGGCATTGTTTTGTTTATCCTTTTATATATTGCTACATGTATCTAATTCTGGGAAGTGATACCGTTTCTCCATTTAGAGTGGTGATAACTGTTCCCTTTCTAAACAGCGTTTAAGGTTTCAAGAAACGTGTGAATTAGGTAATAGTAAAGATGATGCATGGATCTGGCACAACCCTAGGTGGCAAGATGGGTCTGGGGATGATATTTCAGGAATGTGTACACTCAGAGAGAGCTGGTCCCTAAAGGCCCACTCCAGGTCACTGGAGACTTCTCTCTGATGAACTCACAGTCCCATGGGATTTTCAGTTTTGGACCGGCTTTGATGTGGCTGTACTGTGTGACTATGATTAGGTTACTCACCCTCTCTGGACCTCAGCCTCCTCGTCTGAAAAATGGGGATGGGACGTGGAATGAAGACCCTGCAATCATGTTGTCCAGACCTCTACCTGCCTTCCTGAATCTGCTCTTCATTCATTCATTCATTCACTCGGTCATTCAGCAAATATTTGTTGAAATAGTATGCACTGGGCACTTTTCTGGGCTCTGGGGTACAGATGTGAATAGGACAGACTTGATCCCAGCCCTCACTGAGATGATATTTTAGTGGGGGAGACAGACAGTAACCAAGGGAGAAAGTACTTGGTTATTCCAAATAGTGGTAAGAAAAGAAGGTGGTGAGATTGGGAATAACTGGGTGTTGAAACAGGCAGTCAGCCAGGCTGGGCTAGGGTGAGGCAACTGGGGTACTCATGTTGAGTGCAAAATTTAAAGGGGGTGCACACCAAAAACTTAGGAGTCAAGATAAATAGTACTTTTATATAATATTTTGAAAACTCAAAATTAATGCAAAATAATCCGTAATGAACAAAATGGCAACATTTTAAATAAAGACAGGATCTGACAGATCTGCCATTCGGGGGGATGAGACATCCAAGTGCAAGGTGAGATCCTACCTTTATGTAAAATGTCCCTATGTTTTTCACCATGAATTTCTGTTGCATTAATTTTCATTTTAAAGTTGTTTTATTACAATCTTTTTCTTGATTTCTGAGGTTTCTTTCTTTCTTTTTTTAAATTGATTTTGTGGCACCCCTTACATTTTCCTCCCAAAGTGAGTCCCTTCCTCGCTTCATCCTAGTCCTGGCCCTGAGTGGCAGGCAGTGGGTCAGGAGGGCCTCTCTGAGGAGGTGACACTTGAGTCGAGTCCTGAATGAGAAGTTGCCAACTTTGCCGAGCTCTGGAAGGGTGTGGCAGGCAAAGGGAACAGTACTGACAATGGCCCTGAGACAGGATCAAGCTTGGTGAGTTCTAGGAAGAGAAAAACGCTGGTGTGGCTGCAATTCAGGGAGTCTGGGGCTGGGGGAAAGAAGGAGGGGCTGAGACCCCAAAGGTCCGCCAAAGCCAGATGACACAGGACCCTGTGGGCCTAGGTGAGGGGTCAGACCTTTATCTGAAATGCAGCCAGGGTACACGGGAGGGTTTCAGCAGAAGGGGTGACGCTCTGCCTTGGGCTTAAGACTATTCTGGTGGTCCAGTGGTTAGGACTCTGAGCTTCCACTGCAGGGGGCATGTTTTCGATCCCTGGTCGGGGAACTAAGATCCCACGTGCTGCATGGTGCGGCTGAAAAACACCCAAAAAAACAAACCAAAAAATCTATTCTGTCTGCTGAGTGCGAAATAGATTGGGGATAGGAGTTAGGACAGCCTCAAAACTGGTGGCAGGAAGACCAGTGGGGAGGTTGCTAGTCACCCGGGCAAGGGACATGCCCAGCTTCTGCCCTCTGTGTTTGCTGTCACATGTCTTCTCCCTGGAAGCCTTCCCGGCTTTATTCCTCATTTTGCAGGAGAAGAATTTTGAGGCTCAGAGAGGTTAATTCATCTCCTCAGGGTCCTAGCTAGTAAGAAGCGGAGGTAGGCTTTGAACCCAGGTCTTCAAATACCCAGCCTGGCCCATTCTCTGCTCACCTTACCACCTCAGAAGAAAGGGTTAGCACGTAACTTCAGGCAAGGCTCAGTTTCCCTCATCTGTAACATGGGACGAATTACAGCACCCACTTCCTGGGGTGGAGTTTGGAAAATTGAATATGCCCTGCACAGGCTGAGTGCTCAATAACTTTTACCTTAAAAGGAAGAAAAAAGACCCTTTCCCACCACTTTCTCTCTCCCTCTCTCTCTGTCTCTCTGCTGGTTCTCCCCTAAAAGGAGAAACTTTGGTATTTATTCTTCAAACATTTATTTTATTCTTTAGGGTTTTTTTGGAAGGGGAAGGATTGGTGAAGGCAATCAGTTTTCGGACTTAAGATAAAAAATCACAGCAAAGGGTCGACTTGACTCTTTATAATTAATGGGGCGGCTTGTAATAGGATTCTCCTGCCCGTGGCGCTCCCAGGAAACACCTTTTTACATAAGATATTGCCCATGCCGGAATGGCAGCAGGGTGATTTATGGGGTTCCTTGCTCCAGAAAACCTCTCCTGGGGTTGCCCAGCCAGTGGAATTTATCAGGGAGTTTGGAAACCAGGTAAGAAACCTGCCCGTGACATTTTTGGTGGAGTTTAAAAAGCACAAACACTGGGGAAGGGAGAAGCCAGTGGGATGGGGGCAGGGGGAGAGGGTCCATTTAGGTTGGGTTTTCCACCAGCAGAGCCTGAGATGGGGGCTCTTGGCACGTGATTTATCAAGAGTAGAAGGGGATGGGAGGTGAACAGGAGGAGGGGAGGGTTCAGGCGGAATCGGGTCTCAGCCTCATCCCACGGGGAGCTCTGCTCTGTGGGTGGGACCACAGAGCTGCCCCCACCTTGAGGTTGCAGGAGAGGCTGCATCTCTAAACACAGTGGCTCCCACTGGCTGTTCTCTGGAGAAGGGGGCAGCTGTGGGCCGTCAGCAGCCAACACTCTCAGCAGCTGGGGGGCATGGCTGCACCCACCTGATCCAGGAGATTCGAGTCGGTGGTGGGGTGAGCACCAATCGTAAGCAAAGGTTTCTCAGGACAGGAGATGAAGATTGAGGCTGGGGACAGAGCGGAGGGAGACGGGAGGCAGGGATATGGTCTCATGCTCCACTCCCCTAGGGCTCTTCGTCATCCTCAGAGTAAACACCAAAGTACTGACCACAGCCCGCAAGGCTCTTCGTGATCTGGTGCCCCTTCCCTCCACCCATGCACACTCCTTACCTCCCTGTCCATCTTCCACCATCATCTACTTTCTCTCCCTTGCCCTTCCCTCTGCGATCACAGTGGCCTCCTCACAGGTTCCCACCTCAGGACCTTTGCACATGCTGTTCCCTCTGCTATTCCCCCATACACCCCCACATACGCCTTTATTTCCTTCCGTCCTCGGCTCAAATGTCACCTTTTCAAAGAAGCTTTCTTAATCATCCTATCTCAACTAACCAAAAGATTAAGACACTTAGGAAACAGATCAACACGCTGTGTGACTGGAGGCTCCTGGCGCTGCTTCTCTAAACCTGTTTCTTCTGCTATAAACTAGGATCAATAACCCCAACTTCATATAAAGAGCTTCTGTAAATGGATTCCGTAAATTCAGCCGCTATCCTGGTGAGGTGTTGGTGGGATCATTTAAATTTTCCAGAAGTTTCTTCTTCAGAGCAGTCCAGGGACTTCCCTGGTGGCACAGTGGTTAAGACTCCACGCTCCCAATGCAGGGGGCCCGGGTTCAATCCCTGGTCAGGGAAGTAGATCCCACATGCCGCAACTAAGAGTTCACATGCCACAATTAAGGAGCCCGCCTGCCACAACTAAGGAGCTGGCAAGCCGCAGCTAAGACCCGGCTTGCCAAATAAATAAATAAACAAATAAATTTTTTTTTTTAAAAAAAAACAGTCCAGTGAGATGCGTTGCCTCATTGGGTTCACTACCTGCCCGTCATCACAGCTCAGCGAACCAGGTTCTACAGGGGGCGGACCGTGGTTCCACCTGCCTCCTTTCCCTGGAACCCCTGGCTACGCTGGCTGTCATGGTAATTAGGGTCCTTGACTCTGGAGTGGGCCTGGGCGCTGCCTCTCTCTCAGCATCCCTTTCTTCGTGTGTAAGACGGGATCCTCCCAGCCATTGAGTAGTTGCTTGATAAAGTGACAACAATTAAAACAGCACGCCATCTCCCAGGAATACACAAATAGAAATAATCCAGGCCCAGAAGAGATGAGATTTGCCTAACACAGGGTTTCCCAACCTCGGCTCTACTGCTCTAAGGTCCAGTTACTCCTTGCCGTGGGGGCCATCCTGTGCATTGTAGGGTGTCGGGCAACTTCCCTGGACCTCACCCACTAAGTGCCGGGGCACGCTCCCCCAACCCAGCTGTGGCAATCAAACACGTCTCCAGAATTTGCCAAACAATTCCCAGCTCACATCCTGAGAGCTGCTCTGATTGGACAGTTTGGCTCCTGGGCCTGCCCTTGAACCAGTCACCATGGCCAGACAGAATACAATGCTTGGATTGGCTGAGGTTGGGGTCACATGTTCCTCCTCCTTCCCTGCAGTACCTGTCCAGAGCCTTTTTATAAATATGCAGGCTTTTCCTAAATTGCTTTGAATTTGAGCTAACACTAATTAATTAGGAGATCTGTTATGCTGGACCTGCTATTGGATAAACTTGAGCAGTGGCCACCTCCTTTAGGCAGAATATGAGCTTCCCCGTTTGCTCCAATCCCCACCACTCCCTAATGTCTAGCCCCCAACCTGCTTCATCATATACATCTAAGTTTGATGCCTGGCTAGTGACTGGATTGTAAGTCCCAAGTGCAAAAATGTGAAGCTCTACACGGTTTGAGGGAAATCCTTCAGTGAATTGCAAGTGTTGTCTCATAAATACACGAGTGCATGCACTCTCCCACACATGGACACAAACATACATGCATGCCTACAGGTACAAAAGCACACAGCCATGCACAGATGACTTGGGACATAAAGCCAGTCTGAGCCATCGTGTCCACAACTGAGGGTCAGACCCTTCTCTGAAGGTACTGGAGCACGTATCTGCTTTGTACTGGGCTCTTGCCCAGGCTGGAGAAAGGAGAGCAACAGTGGCATAACCCTGGTCCGCCTTCCCATGCCCCTGCCATGCCTGGGGCCAGCTCTGGGGTAAAAACACCCCCTTTGCCAACCAAAGCCTGGATTTCAACCATCACCTTGGCTTAAGGCTGGAGTGAAGGACTAGATGGAGGCAGCCTCTGGAGGCAGGGGTTTTAGAGTCCACCTGATGAGAAGACAGAGGGAACCTCAGCTGATAGGACCCACAGGGAACCAAAGGGCCCGCCTCCCAGGAGAGGGGCCCCAGCTGGGATGGAGAAGCTGGGTGTATCTCAGGCAGGTACACACACCTGGTGACCCAGTGTTCAGTGCTCTCCACAGAGCCCTGGACCAATACAGAAAATCTCGTGCTCCCAGGACCCTCTTCATAGGCTCCCCATTTCCCCCACTGAGTGGTCCAGGAGGGCAAAGGCAGAATGGCAATAGTTTCTCAGCTCCAGTGCCCATCCTGCTACATCAGGTCATAACAACCATCACCTCAGCTTCAACCGTCCACATCCTGCTCTCTCCCTGTGCCTCCGCTCTGCCCTTGGCATTCCTTGGGTGTCAACCAGGAAGGGCTACTCCAAGGTAATTGACATGTGTTATCTGGACAGGGTCAACAGGCCCCTCGGGTTCTTATCTCAAGCTTGCCGAGACCAGGAGAGGAGCAAACGGCAGCTGACAAGTCTCCCAAGAGTGCAGCCAAGGACAGGAAGCCTGAGTGGGAGACAGAGCACCTGGAGTGGAGACGGGCTCTGCCACTCACCTGGAGGAGTGCGGGGTTGGGGAGACGTTCTCTGGCTGAAGCAATCCCAGGGGCTTCAGGGAGGAGGCTGCCTTTACACTGGGCTTCGAAGAATGTGTAGGATTTAGAAGCGTAGAGGGCATGGTATGCAGGGGGCATGGCTTAAGCAAAGGAAAGGAGGTAGGAGAGCAGTCGTGGTTAGAGGCACAAGCCCAGGTGTTTACATAGCAGCGTTCCAGTTCAGCTGTGTGACTTGGAGTAAGTGCTTGACTGCTCTGTGCCTCGGTTTCCTCATTTGCAAAAAAATGAAGATTATAATAGTATCTACCACATAGGTTACTGCAGGATTAACTGAAATGACTGCTGAGACCCGAAGCACACAGTAGGTGCTCAACACAAGAATAACTACTAGTTCCTCCGCACCCCTCACTGTTGCAGGAGGAACACTCAGGAAATGGTAAGAACTGGCAGTTATTGAAAGACGACACCTGTGCCGGGTCCTAGGCGTAATCTGCAAACAACCCATTTTACTAATTAGAACACTGAGGTACTGAACCAGAGCATCATTTACTCAAGGTCACTGGGGTAGTGAGTAGGAACAAAGTTCAGGCTCAAACCTGGCTGTGTCCCGCTCTGGAGCGCTCAGTGTCTATTCCAGGAACCCACAAGGACATAGGGCTGGGTCCTGGAGCCTTCTGGAGGGACGACCTTGGCAACCGAGGTCGACGTCTACGGTCAAAGGGAGGATGAAACCGAAGCAGTGGGAGAAGCAGAGGGAGGACACTGCTGCTCTCAAATCCTCAGCCTGAGAAAAGGAGGAGACACCTGGTGGAGGGAACAGTTTGGCCACAGGAAAGGAGGTGGGAAGCAGCAAGTGGGCCTCCTCCAGCACAGAGGGGCAGCCTGAGGCCCAGAGAGGGGAAGGCACTTGCCCAAGGTCACACAGCCCTCATGAGGCAGCCCCTCAGTGGGAGCCGGGAGCTGGGTTCTGCCATGGGCTGTGACACAGGGTGGCCCCCACCCTCTCTGAGCCTTGTTTCCTGCAGCGCTGGGAGGGGTTGTATAGGGTTCCCCCATGCCCAGACTGTGTGGGCCCATTCGCCTCTGGGACCTCAGCACCCCCCGGCTGGGTAGAGTCAAGGAAGACCCTGGGGCAGGTCTCACCTGCCTGGAGCCGGGCTTCCCCATTGGAGACAATTTGCTGCCCCCTGGTGGCCACAAAGGATTCTAATTTTCTCTCGGTTTCCGAAGAGATCCTTCCCAGGGACTGCAGGTGCCCAGTTTCAGGACCAGTGTCCACCCTCCTTGTGACCCACAGGTGTGTCCAGACCGACCTGGAGGCCATACCTCCTTCTCCAATGTCCCACCACACAAAGAAGGCGAAGGTCCAAGAAATACAGAGTCATGTCGAAAATCACAGGGTTTGAAACTGGCCGGGCTACATTCCAGCCTGTGTGACCTCGAGTGAGTTATGTCACCTTTCCATGCCTCAGTGTCCCCATCTGTAGAACAGGGAAGATAATAATGGTTTCTACTTCATAGTGCCTTTGTGAACTTTAAAGAGGACAAGGAATAGAAAGTTCTTAGAAGCATTTCTGGCACATGACAAGCACTTGATAAAGACTGGCAATATTGTCCTACCAGCCCAGGCCTGAGAAGTGACAGAATGTCCCCCTCCCCTTCCTGAGCAGGTCCGCCAGGTAAGGGAAGCCCGGTTAGGAGCTCAGCATGGCCGGATTCCCTTAGGAACCGGAGTTCTGAATTCTTGGCTTTGTTGCACAAGCTGTGTCATGGGAAGAGAGTCGCGTCATCAGAGTGCTGGCATCAGGTTGCTGTGTGCCTTCTCTGAGTTCATGGAGGTGGAAAAAATGGACCTGCTGGAGTTACAAGCCCAACTCAGAAAAGGTTTATTGGCCAGAGCTGCAGGGAAGCCAAAGGGAGCAGTTCAGGAGGGCTTCCTGTAGGAGACAGCCAGCATAGCAGCACAGAGCAGCTGCCACTGCCCTCCATGAGCACAGAGGCCCCTCAGCCAGCAAGCCCCTCCAGGGGTGTCCAGGAGCCTCTTGGGGATCACTGGGGACCAGCCGGCCCTCCTAAACCAGGAGCCCTCAGCCCTGGCCCAGCTGGGCTTTCAGAGCCTGTAGCTCTCCACTGTCAATGTTGTTGCCTCCACACACGATGACCACGACTGAGGCCGGGGAAGGGTGCAGGCGGCCCTCAGCCTGGAGCCTCCGCAGGACGCCTGAGTAGACGGCAGCTAAGGCTGCCCCGCAGGCAGGCTCCACCAACATTCGCTCATTATCTGCCCAGAGGAGGGGAACGGAGGCGGGGTGGGGGTGGGGGGTGGGGGAGGAACCAGTTAGTGCTCAGCAGGCTCTGGGCACTGCAACTCCGTGAAGCCAGCCACCCAGGCATCCATCTCACAATCCGTCATTTGTCTGACTCTCTCTCCACCCATCAATCTGACCGTCTATCCCTCCATCCATCCGCCTTTCATCTATCCATCCATCCATCCCTCCCTCTATCCATCATTAGACTGTCTGTCCGTCCATCTATCAGTGTATCTATCAATCATTGTTTTATCCATCCATCCATTCATCCATCCATCCATTCATCCCCTATCCATCATTTGACTGTCTGTCTGTCCATCCATCAATGTGTCCATTAATCAATGTGTCCACCCATCCTTCCATCCATTTCCTCCATGTCATTTGTCAATCCACTGCCCATCAATCCAACCGTCTATCCACCCACCCATCCACCTATTCATTATCCACCTTTCCACTCACTCATACATTCATCCATTCACTCAACAAATATTTATTGAGCGCCCCCTCCCTGCCAGGCCCAGGGCTAGGAAGGCCCTGGGGACACAACAATGAACAAGACACACCAGCCCCCGCCCTCATAGAGTTCACAGTCTAGTGATGTAGTTGGATAAGAATCTGGCAGTTATGAGACTGTTGGGATTGGTGCATAGGAAGTCTTCAACCCAGGTGGGGTGGGGGTGAGAGATCAGAGGAGGCTTCCTGGAGGAGGTGCCATGATAGCTGAGTAGCCCCCTTAGTTACATGAAACAAATAGGGAGCAGGGCCAGGATGGGCAGCAAGAGGGAAGAAAAGTGGGTGCAGAAGTCCAGAGGCTAGAGACAGCAGGACACACCCCTTCTTCACCCCCACCCTTTCCATCCACTCAACGTGCACTTACTACATGATTACTGTATACCCAGCCCTGCGATAGGCACTGAGGATACAGATAAGAGAGAGCACGCTCTCTCCAGGGGATCCAGGGACTTTGCCGGTTTCTGAGCCCGGGTGGGGGGCAGTGCTTACTCACCCAGGAACCGCTGCACAGCGCTCACGGCCTCAACATCCTCCACCACCTCAGAGAAGACCTTGAACTCCTTCGTACACGCCAGGGCCTGTGCAGCCACCGTCCTGGCACCCAGGCACTTGGCTACACTGCAGGAGCGGGCAGGTGGGGCAGGGAGGGCAGGGGTGCGGAGAAGAGCTGGGGACTCAAGTCTCCTCCCCGCACAGCCCCAGCCCTCCCCAGCCCCGGGCCCCCCTCCCATCCTGCAATGGGCCGGGGGCCCAGCATTTCAAGAGTCTCAAGCAGCGCCTGGCTCAGAGGAAGCACTCAAAAACTGTGTGTCCCACGAACAGCTGGTGAATGCACGTCACCCCCTCTGGCTCTACAGCCGTGACTGTGTTGTTCTTGCACAGACCCCAGAAAGCCAAGCCTAGGAAATGATTTTTTCATTTTATTCATTAATAACCATTTACCATGTCTATGCTATAGCTAATATTCATTGAATGTTTCCAAGGTGCTGGATGCTCGGATTTTCCGACAGGGGTTTTTTTGTTTGTTTGTTTGTTTTTTTGTTTGTTTGGCTGTGCCATGCAGCATGTGGGATCTTAGTTTCCCAACCAGGGATCGCACCTGAGCCCCCTGCAGTGGAAGCACGGAGTTGTAACCACTGGACCGCCAGGGAAATCCCTGGATTTTCTGTCTTAATCCTTATGCTGTCCCTTGGAGTTAGAAATCTATGAGTTCCATTTTATAGGTCAGGAAACTGGAGTTCACAGAGGTTGAGTAACTTGCTCTAGGACACACAGCTAGTCAATAGCAGAATGTGGGCTCAAATTCAGGTAGTCTGGCTCCAGAGTCCACGCTCTTTACCTCCGTGCTTGGGATCACCTACCTGCTGGTATTCTCCTGAGCTAGGCAGTGTTTCAGGCCTGGGAGAGGCTTTGCTGAGCTCATAAGAACTGGCTCTGAGCCCTAAGTGGCCCAGAGTACGGACTCTGGTACCAGGCTGCCTGGTTTCAAACCTTGGCTCTAAACTAGCTGTGTGACCTTGGAAAAGTCACTTGACCTCCCTGAGCCTCAGTTTCCTCATCTGAAAAACTGGGCTAATAACAATAGCTGGCTCACGACGTTGTCACAGACAATGAGTTGAAACATTTCAAGTGCTTAGAACAGAGCCTGATAGATAGTGAGTTCTACAGAAGTGTTGGCTGCGATTATTGTCATTGCTGTTATCAAGAAGCAAGTCCGGGAGGGGAGACAGCAGTGAGTAAGGAAACACAAGAACAAGTAAATAAATACCCACTGTAGGTACACACTATGAGGGAGAACTTGGGAGGGGAAACTCCGATGACAGGGTTGTGGGGAGAATCTCTCTGAGGGGAGAGAAAACAGCCAGAAGAAGAAGAGGGAACCCTAGGACTTCTGGGCCGAGGACACAGCCCGTGCAAAGGCATGGCGGGAGGAAAGAGCATGACCCATTCAAGGGACAGGAAGACGGGCCAGTGGCTGAAGTGGAATGGGGAGGAGTCTGATTGGGGCCTGAGAGCTTAGGGAACACACTGATGGGTTTAAGCGGGGAATGAAAAGTCCTATAGATCAGCCATGCAGGATTAAGGAGACCCCCCTTGAGGGGACTTCCCTGGGGGTCCAGTGGTTAAGACTCTGTGCTTCCACTGCAGGGGACATGGGTTCGATCCCTGGTCAGGAAACTAAGATCCCGCATGCCATGGTGTGGCAAAAAAAAAAACTTTTTTTAATTAAAAAAAAAAGGTGACCCCCTTGAGTGCCCCACTTCCACTAAGTGGGGCTGGGAGGTCCTAGGGCAGCCTAGCGCCCCACAAATGCTCCCAGCCTGTGCCTACCTGGTGATGTCCGGCAGTGTCACCAGCCTGCCTGCCTTAACGGCCGCATTGAAACAGTGTGCCCCTTGGGTCTCCATGGCAATTATGGGCACATGCTTCCAGCCCACCTCTGCCAGACCAGCCGACACCCCGGCCAGGAGGCCTCCGCCCCCTACTGCCAGCACCAGGGCACCCGGTGGGGTCCCCAGCACTGCCTTCAGCTCCCGCACCAGGCTCCCGTGGCCTTCCCTGCAGGATGAGGGAGCAGGAGAGAGGGGCAGGGGTGAGGGAGGCCCCAGTCCCACAGGCTCACAACCACACAAACTCCCCGCGTAGCCATCCGCCTCCCCACCCGTGGCACGTGGAGGGGAGACCCTGCCACGCTTAGTTCACTCAGCTTTCATCCACTCAGGTTATTCGTTCACTCATTCTTTCCCCCTTTCATCAACCTCCCAGGCACATTCTCAATCCATTTAATCCATTCCACAACGCTGGAAAGAGGCAGCGTTCTTGTGTCTGGTTAAGAGGAGACCAGAGTAACACTTGGAACCAGCCCAACTCAAGTCCTGGGCCTGGGACCCAAGGTGTCCGCCACTTACTAGCTGAGTAATCTTCAGCAAGGAGCTTGACCCCTCTGTGCCTCAGTTTCCTCACCTGTAAAATGGGCATTAAAACAACCATCTCTAGGGCTTTGGGGAAGACTAAACGGATGGAATGTGTGCCAAAGTACACACTCAGTCAAGGGGATTTATTATTAGCATTTCCATTTTACACACGTGGAAACTGAGGCATGGGTGGTGAGATGCTTTGCAGAGTCACACAAATCACAGGTGGCAGAGGTGGGGTCTGGACCTCCATGTGCCTGGCTTCCAAGCCTCTTCTCCTCTTGGGGCCTCAGTTTCCCCTCTGTCCAGTGGGAGGACCCTGACTCAACGGCGGTCTCTCAGTGCTGAGTTCCATGGGGAGAGGGGCACCAGCCTTACCATATCAGGGGGTGGTCAAACGGGTGGATGTTCACCCAGCCGTCCTTCTTGGCCAACTCTTGTGCCCTTAGATTGGCCTCGTCCCAGACCTAAAGAGAAACCGAGGACCTCAGAAGACGGGAGTCAGACGGCTATGGAGGTTGGAGCAGAGCCTGAGGTCTCCTGGATGGCTCCAGGGGCCAGTGGGCTGAGGAGACCCCCGAGGGTGAGACCAGAGCTGGTGTGGACCCAGCAGCCTCCTGGGACAAAGGCAGAGGCTTCCAAGTGGACAAATGGATGCCATGTGCTTTCTACAATCCAGGCAGGACCCATCGTGTTCTATTCTCATCATCTGGTTACCTGCGAGTCTCCCCAACAATACTTGGAGCTTTGTAAGAGTAGAGACCACGTCTTATTACCTCTGTATTCTTAGCACAGCCTAACATAGTGCAGGCACATGGTCTGTGCTCAATGAATATCTGTTGGATGGATGATGGATGGATGGAGGGGCGGAAAAGAAGGCAGAGGGAGGGAGAAAGGGTGATGGACGGAAGGATGCTGAATGAATGAATGAGTGAGTGAATGAATGAATGGATGAATATATGAAGGAAGGAAGGAGAAAGGAAGACAGAAAAGCAGGCAGGCAGGAAGGAAACTGTATACACTAAGTATTTGGAGACCAGCTTTTGGGTACCATGATATGGCTTTTAGTTTTAACCTTGATGGTTTTTAAAAGCCTGTTTTCCAGGGATGATGGATGGATGGGTGGATGGATGGATGGATTTTTTCTTCTTCTTCTTCCCAGGAGGGGGGAAGCATGACATGTTTGGGTCTCTGTTTCTTGGGTAACAAAGTGAACCAACGATATCCTTATCTGATGAATATCCTTTCATTTCGGGGTGGCCTCAGAATGGGGGATGATGCTGTTATCATCTTTCTTTATACTTTTGTCTTATTGAAAGGCAAAAATTTTAAGTGGATAGCACCAAGTGTTAGTGAGGGTGCAGGGAGACAGATACACTCCTGGTAACCACCAGCCTTCTGCTTCTCTTGGGTTCACACAGGAAAAGTCTCCTCAAGGTGGGGAGAGGCAAGTTGACAGATCCAAGCCCTTAACATACAACACATCTCACTCACCCCTCAGCTCAGCCATCCTCAGGGATGACTGGGTCCCAGGCATAGTTCACAAAACGGAAAAGGAAACAGGATCTCTTGGGGCTGAGGTGGGAGTAAAGGGGGAACAGCTCCCTTCAGCTGGTCTCCCCTTCTTGAGGTCCTTACCTTTCCCGTCAGCTGAACTTCGGCCCCCTCCCCCTGCAGCCTGCTCACCACCTGCAGAGAGGTGCCCTCGGGGAGCACAATGGTGGCTGGGATGCCCAGCTTCCGAGCAGCGTAAGCGGCAGCGATGCCTGCGTTACCCCCTGTGGAGGCAGTAGAAGGGGGGGCTGTGGGCATTTGTATTAGCCTGTTGACACACTGCTCTCCCACCCTCTCCGTTCCCCTTTGGGAGTCACGCCTTCCCGACACTTATATGCCCCACCATTGGCCCCAGAGGTGGACACGTGATCTATGTGGAGCCAATCAGAGAACGCACTCACCTGAACCATGATTGGTTCAGGGATGAGTACATGGGACAAGCTGGGCCAAAAAGACCAATTCATGGATTGATGAGGCCATTGGGAAAGGGTACTCCCTTTTCACCAGGGTTGGTAGGGTGGTAGGAGGCAAGCCTAAAACTCCGGATGGCCATCTTGCTACCATGTGGTCTATATGAGAGTAAGGTTAGTACAGAGGAACGACAAGCCAATAAAAGGAGAGGTACAGAGGAGAGCTCCTGGGTCCAGCTGTGCCTGAAAGCCAATTATCCCAAGAATTCTTCAATTCTTGGAGCCTGTAACTTAAACCCGCATGATTGGGGTTTTATCACTTACTACCAGGAGGCTTGAATGATGGGAAGGGGGCTGAGAGAGGACATGCAAAGCAGCCATCTGACCATGACCTTGACGAGGCTGGACCTTTAAGAAGAGGCCAAGGAGTTCCCTGGTGGCGCAGTGGTTGGGAGTCCGCCTGCCAATGCAGGGGACACGGGTTCGAGCCCTGGTCCGGGAAGATCCCACGTGCCGTGGAGCAGCTAAGCCCGTGCACCACAACTACTGAGACTGTGCTCTAGAGCCCGCAAGCCACAACTACTGAGCCCACATGCTGCAACTACTGAGGCCCACGTGCCACAACTACGGAAGCCGGGGCGCCTAGAGCCCGTGCTCTGCGACAAGAGAAGCCACCGCAATGAGAAGCCCGTGCACCGCAACGAAGAGTAGCCCCCGCTCGCCGCAACTAGAGAAAGCCCACGTGCAGCCAAAATAAACAAATAAATTTATTTTAAAAAAAAAGAAAAGAGGGGCTTCCCTGGTGGCGCAGTGGTTGAGAGTCCGCCTGCCGATGCAGGGGACGCGGGTTCATGCCCCGGTCTGGGAGGATCCCGCATGCCGCGGAGCGGCTGGGCCCGTGAGCCATGGCCGCTGGGCCTGCGCGTCCGGAGCCTGTGCTCCGCAACGGGAGAGGCCACGGCAGAGGGAGGGGCCCGCACCCCCCAAAAAAAAAAAAAAAAAAAAAAGAGGCCAAGCCCTGGACATCTACTGCTGCTCCAGCCAGGTCCTCCTCCCCCAACCCAGCCCTGAGGACCCGCATGAAGTAGAAAGGGGTGGGCTCACCTGAGGAGCACACCAGGTGTCTGCACCCCTTTTTGGCCACCTGGGAAGACAAGGTATGTGGGTGGGGGCTGACCCAAGCAGGTGTCATGGAGGCCTGTGTGGGATGGAGTTAGACCCTCCCACTCCAACTCTCCCCACCCCTCGTCCTGCCCACAGCTGTCCCCTTCCATCTGTACAACCTCACTCTCCCCTCCTGCCCACACACCCTCACCTCCTGGCAGAAACGTCCAATGCCACGGATCTTGAAGGAGCCAGTCGGCTGCACATTCTCATACTTGAGGAAGACAGGCATGCCCACCACCTGGGACAGTGCCCAGCTCTCCAGCAGAGGTGTGACGATGTGGAAGTGCTCACCCTTGGCACACTCCGCCAGAGGGCCCTCCATACCAGCAACCACCTAGAGGGCCTGCAGGAGGGCACAAACATCATAGCCCAGGCAGCTCCAGCCAAGAGTCCCTGTAACCAGAACAGGGAACGGGGAGAGGGAGAAGCTCCTCCGCTTGGCGCCCTTAGTGCCATATGGCTGCCAAGCCGTGAGGCTCCAGGGGAGTATCCGCGCCTCTCTGGGCCTCAGTTTCACCAGCTGGACAAGGAGGTTTGGACTAGGGGCTGTTTTCTTCTGTAACTGTGGCTGCTCACAGCGCTGGGGATGGAGAACGTGGCCAATAGTGGTGATGAATGAATGAGAGTGGGAGAATTCATTCATTCATCATTCATTATTCATTCAAAAGACATTACTGAGCACCTACTATGTGCCAGGCAGTTCCAGGTTTTGGGTCCCAGCAGGGGACACATCAGAGGCAGCCCCTGCTTTGCCGGAGCTCACGGTCTAGTTGGGGAGACAGAAACACAGAATTTCAAACAGGAGTGACCTAGAGGGGAGGGTATTATTTTAGCAAGGGTGGTCAGCAAAGCCGTCTCCCAGGAAAGAAACTTTTTTTAAAACTTGTATTATGGAAAATTTAAACACAGCAAAAGTGTCAAGAACTGTCTGACGAAGCTCCCGTGTAGCCATCACTTAGTTTCAACAATCATCAATGTGTGGCCTGCCTTGTTTTCTCCATATCTGTGCCTAATCCTCCTTCCTGTATTATTGTTTTTTCCTCCTTTATGATTATTATAAATTTCCTCCCATATTATTTCTTCTGTAACTATTTCAGCATGTAGCTCTAAAAGCAAAGGACTCTTTTTAAACATTGTAGCCACGGTTTCAGAACAGTATACATTTGTCCAAACTCTTCAAATTCTAACCTTGAGTAAGCTGATTTTATTTTATGGAAATTATGCCTCACTGAGGTTTATTTTTTAAAATGTAATCACAATGCCATTATCACGTCTAAAAATATTAAAATGATTTCTTAATTTCATCAAATATCTGCTAAGTGTTCAAATCTCCAATCGTCTCATTAAATGTAATAAACCAAAAAAAAAAAAATGTAATAAACCACCCATCTTCTTGTTGGTGATGGTTCAGGGTTTTGTGCATTTTTGGTTGGTTGAGAGGTAATTTACTTTCTTTTGACCTGCAAGTTCTCAAAGGGGAAACTTTGAGATGAATGACGAGAAGCAAGGGAAAAGCGTTCTGTAGAGGGAACAGCAGGTAGAACCACCGCCTTGAAGGAAATGAACTTAGAGTGTTCCTGGTGCTGAGAGAAGGGACTGGTGGAGGTGAGAGTAGGAGGCGAGCAAGGAGAGGTGGTCAGGGATGTTGGGGAGGGCGTTCCAGCCCACGGTGAAGAGTTGGGATATTATTCTAATTCTACTTGCTATGGGAAGCCGCTGGGAAGTTTTAAGCCAAAGTGCGGATGAGTGAGTGAGTGAGTGAATGAACCAGTGTGTAAGGGCGAGAAGCAGAGAGGGAGGACATTAGAAGGGAGAACAATAGAAGGATTTTTTTTTTAAGGAGCAAACGCTCTGCCCTCCCACCCACCCCCCTTTGTTTTTTCTGGCGCAGAAAAGCATTGGGCCGCCCAATAGTGGGGCTGCAGTTCCATTATTTGCCACTAGGCGGAGCGCTGCAACCTCCCCCGCCCACCACAAGCCCAAGCTTCTTGTCCACCCTTGCTTAGTCAAGAGCTGGGTTCCCCTCTTCAGAGGTTTCCAGGTCTCCTGTCCCTGGATTTGACTCTGGGCCTTTGTTGGGATGGCCCTGGGGTTCCCCAGGCATGGCAAAGCCTGAACCACCTCCACCCAGTTCCATCCAGGACAATTCTTAAGCAGGGCATGGCATTGGGGGAGGGTAGCCCACGGGTCACCCAAATCCCGCATACCCAGCCCTGGGCCTCACCTCAGCCCCAGAGCCCAAGAATGTGAGCTTTGGGGTCAATCAGAGACCAGAGTTAGAAACTAGCTATGACTTCTTGGCTGTGTGACCCAGACAAGTGTCTCAACCTCTGTGTGCCTATTTCCCCTTCTGTAAAATGGGAATAATAACATCCCAACTCACAGGTTTTGGGGCAGATTAATAATAATAGTAATAATAATAATAGCTATCCTTTGTGGAATCCAATTACCAGAAGCTGACTGAGTCTTTTGGAGGCATTATCTCATTGAGGTCTTTTAACAGTGCCGGTAGGCTCATTGTTACTCTAGAATGCTTACAAGGTGTAGGCCCTGACCTAGGAACTGGGGACACCATGGTGAACCAGACAGATATCTACTCCTGGAGGTGACTTATAATCTCAGAAGGGGATCGACATTCAACAAATAACTGTATAGACAAACAAAATAATCAGAAATGGTGAGAACTGCTAAAAGGGAAACAGGCATATACGGAGTCTTGAAAAGAAGAACAGGGGACCTACTTTGGGTCAGGAGGTCAGGAAAGGCCTTTTGGAGGAGGTGACCATTAAAACTGAAACCTGAAAAATGAAAAGGAACCAACCACACAACAAACGGGGAGAAGGGCTTGTGCATCACAGGATCATTGTGATGATTACGTGAGACCATAAAGTAAAGGCATCAACTCTGCTTCACATATAATAATAGCTAATAATTATATGGGACTTACTTTGAGCCAGGCACTATACCAACCACCTTATATTTTATCTCATATAATCATTACAATGACCCTGAGATAGGTTCAATTATTAACTCCACTTTATAGACAATGAAACTGAGGCCCAGAGAGGTTAAGTAACTTGTCCAAGGTCACACAGCTAGAAATGGCATGGCCAGGATTCAAACTCAGGCAGTGCACTTTGGCATCTGTGTTCTTACCCACGATGCTTTACTTTCTCTTTTATATTAGCATTATTATCATTAAAGGTGTGAGCATTTAGTACTTAACTGCCAGTTGTCCTTAGGAGCTAAATGCTCCTGCCTCAGTCCCCAGGCGCCCCCAGCCCTCTTGGTTATACCGACTGCCCAGAAGAGGACAGCAGGCGTCAGTCAAATGAATGAACCCCAAGTTGCCGACAGCCTTATCAAGCCCAGACGCCCAGGAGGGCACCTGCTACTTCTATGAATTGGAGTAAAAGACCAACTGACTACCTTTTCCACCTCCCTTGTCCCTCACGCTTTTCCCCAGAGGCCACCTGGGTGATGCTCAACAGTCAAATCTCTGGTGCCAGGGCTGGGAAACCTCAGCCACCCCTTGGCTGGCAGAATGTCAGCCCCACCCCCCTGGGATCAGGATGTGCTCCCCAATCCTCAGGGTCCCAGATCCCTAGCCTTCTAGTCCAAGGCAGACGGGCCACAAGCACCCTGAGCTGAACCCATGTTCCTGGGAGGACTTCGGACAGTCTCACCCTCCCACTTTCTGTCCACTCAGCTGGAACTTGGCCCCAGAACTTTCCAGACTAGCCTCTACTCACATTCACAAATGTACATAGAGCCCCAGGGCCCTATTTGGGCCCCAGACCCCCTTACCTTCCTTCTCAACAGTCCCCAGACCAGCTCAGCCCCAGCCCACTGCCCACCAGCCTGAGTGGGCACTGGCTCTGCCAGCTTCCTGCAGCTTCCTGTGGCCTTGGCCCCTCCTCTTGTATTAAAGGGACAGCTCCCCACTGAAGGAGAAAGGGGACAAGATCAGCCTTCACTGCCTCCCGGTTTGCTGTCCGAGACATGTGATTACCTGGTCCCATTTCACAGATGAAGAAACTGAGGCCCAGAGAGGGGGACTCACTCAGCCAAGGCCACCCAGCCAGCGAGGGGCACCCTTTAACTCTCACCCTGGACCACCTTTGCTGTGACACAGACACCTCCAAGCCCAGTGCTTGTGCCGAATGCCAAGCCACTTCCCCTGGACCACTGTCAAGGTCAACTTAGGTATGAGACAAGAAAACAAGGATAAAGGAACAATTATTATCTGTCACATGAGAAAGGCATGTTTTCTTCTGGAGCTCCTCCTCATCTGTGATATTTTATACCCAACATTGGGACTCAAACAATTATTTATTGTTCAAATGAATGACTGACAACCGATTCATTTACTCAAAGAATATTTATTGGACACGAACTATGTGTCAAGTCCTGGGACCTTTAGCCTCAAACAAGACAGCATGTCCCCTGCCCTCAAGAAGCCCCAAGATACCACTGAAGAGCAGCTATGATCAATGCTGTCAGATGTTGGCAAGAAGAGGTGGGGTAGGGCTGTGGGCGCCCAGAGCAGGTACCTCATCTGGCCCTTGAGGGCTGGGAAGGCTTCCTGGAGGAGGAGACTGAGAGGGGTCAGGAATCAGGAACAGGGAAAGCAAAGGTCTGAAACTGAAAAACATGGGGTGTTCCAGGAACAGAGACATGTGCAGGAGGACTCGAGAAAAGGCAAGGATGGGACAGCATGTGGGTTTGGGGCTGAGGAGGTGGGCAAGGACCAGAGTCCACTGGATGCCTGTGCCAATCCAGAGTCTGGACCTCACCCCAGGGGCACTAGGGAGCCATGGAAGGCTTTAGGCAGGGGAATGACGTGATCACATTCATGTCTTGTCTCTATCAGCATCTCACTGGGTGAATCTGAGCTGGTCACATTAATTTGGGGGGGCCTCAGTCTCCCTATATATCAAATGGGAGGTGAGGTCCAGGAAGCACCTGGCAGCCCAGATGGCCTGTGCCCTTCTTGACCTGTGTGTGACCTCCCCGGGTTTGATGATTAACTCCTGGCCACTTGGGGTCAAGTGGAACTGCTTGGTCATGATCCTTGATGAGGACTTTAGCAGTTTCATCCCCATCCTCACATTAAACAAACACCATCCTTGACAGGTGTCCTGTCCTGGTCTGGGCACTGGGGACACAGAGGTGATAAAACCCAGTTCATGCCCTGAGGTGGCCCCCAGCCTGGAAGGGAGAGAAAGTCACTAATTCAGTGACAACCCTAACACCCCCTAGGAGAACAGAGAGCAGAAGGTCCCCATAGGGCAGCTGAGGGTGGGGTGTGATCAGGGAGGGCTTCCTGGAGGAGTGGGGCCTTAGCATATAGTTCAGGTTTGGACAAGAAGCATGATGGCTGCATTTGTTGCATGCCTACTGTATGCCAGCCCTTTTGTGTTGATGAGAGATTCCCAAAGGTTTTTTACTAGTTGGGTATTTATATCCTCTGTGTGTGTGTGTGTGTGTGTGTGTGTGTGTGTGTGTTTGTGTGCATATAAAATAATACACATAATTTTATGGATGTTATTGCTTAGGAAGAAGCTAAGGCAGGTATTAAAGTTTAAAAATGGAGGTTTTTCTCTTTTTTTAATATTAAATAGTAGCAGTAAGTTTCTGGCATGAAGAGCCAGTAACAATTAGAACACAGACCCTGAAGCCAGCCTCTAGTACAAATACCAGCTTTGCACTTACTGGCTGTGGCTTGGGTAAGTTACTTAACCTCTCCGTGCATTGGTTCCTCAAGTGTAAGATGGGGATAAAATGCTACTTCCCCAGTAGTGGATGCAGCCTGTTGCCTGTATGGGTTGCCCTAAGGGACCCTGGAGACAGCCCTTTCCCGTGGACATTCATGTCCGGCATGCAGTCCCCAATCTAGGCTCCAGACAGGTATGCGCGGTGCCTTTGGAAAGCCCCAGGGCACAGTGGCCAGGGTCCGCATTGGCCAGGTCATAATGTCCATCCGCACCGAGCTGCAGAGCAAGGAGCATGTGACTGAGGCCCTACACAGGCTGAGTTCAAGTTCCCTGACCCCCAGAAGATTCACATCTCCAAGAAGGGGGGATTTACGAAGTTTAAGCAGATGAATTTGAAAACATGGTGGCAGAAAAGTGGCTCATCCCGGATGACTGTGGGGTCGAATACATCCCTAATCGTGGCCCCCTGGACAAATGGCAGGTCCTGTATTCATGAGAGCC